AGACCGACGGGGTCTCAGAGCCGGTTTTCAGACTTTGTGTGGATGGGCATCATTGATGGATATTTAATTGGACCTCATTTTCTGCCCGCCAATTTAAATGGAGATGTGTATGAAGAGTTCTTGAAAAATCACTTGTTTTCATTAATGGAAGACGTCCCATTGGCGACGAGACAAAATATGCGGTTCCAGCACGACGGCTGTCCCGCACACTACAGTAGATTAGTACGGGCGTAAGTATTTAGACTCTAAATTTCCAAATCAATGGATTGGCAGAGGCGGGCCCATTGCCTGGCCAGCAAGAAGCCCAGATCTCACACCGATGGATTACTATGTGTGGGGACATATGAAAAGCCTGGTGTACGATGTTTCGCCCGTACCAACGCGCGATGAATTAATTACAAGGACAATCAGTGCAGCTGACCAAATAAAAATCCGCTTAACAACTAGAGTTACCAAAAGTGAATTACGTAAGAGAATGCGGGCGTGTCTTCGTAACAGGAGATTACAATTTGAGCAGAATCTGTAAAATACTAAAGGAAATGTAATTAAATAAAACTCATCTTTTTTTAATGTTATGTCTTTGTACTTGAGTTAGTTGTAACTTTTATACCTCAAATGAAAGCTTGTTAGATAGAGATATTATTTACATAATTTGCACATTTCATTACTAGGAGATTTTTTACAGAAAATTGCATTTTTTATCGAATAAGTTAGTAAAAAAATAAGAAAATCATACATTTAAAAAGCGTAATTTTTCATCATTTTATTACTTATTATGAACTATTGGAATGTCCGCTATGCGACGATAACAAAAAACTCAAAATCAAACATGTAGTTTTTTTGTATTTCAAATTTAACCGTCTGAAATCGGTATAAAAAATAAAAAAAATAAAATTCAAATAACTCAAAAATGGTTAACTTGGATAGGACATTATAGGACAAAATCGGTTGCTTTTGACCTAATCTATCACCCCCTAACAGGAATACGTGACATTACAAGTCACCCTGTATATAATAGCGAGAGAGTAATCTAAATGTTGGTAGAAGTTTCTTCCACAATAAAGTTGCAAATGTTGAAACTTGAATGTGCTAGGATTTACTGAAATAACTTACATTAAAAACACTTTAAAGTAAATAATTATCATTAATTACATTTACAATTTTCAATTTGCTTTATATTTCTTTGGCTTGTTCTTTGGAAAATGCAGCGGGAGCAGCTAAACGAAGTATTACCTGTACTTGAAGTTAGCACAATTTATGATTTAAATCATCGAGACAGCGAGAGGACAAGCTTCAGAAGTTACCAGGTCCAAAATGACCCATTGGTGGACTTGTAGCACAACTCGGTAATCGGTAATGAGGGGTTTTTTCATAAGACATGGACGAAAACTTGATTCTGAAGAAGTTGTAACCTGTGATGAGTGTAGCCTTTAATTGAGAGAATTGTAAAAAAAAAGTTTAGGAATCGGAAGTATTACTATGTAAATGCAAGATAAAATCATTATTTATTTATTTATTTATAATTCCCAACAGGTAACACCCAATTACAGAAAATACACCATCAAAGAAAATAAATCAACATCAACATCAGCTGAACATAAAAAAGAAAACACAAATAAATATACACAAGTATGCCAGTATTTAAAATGTGGAAATTGCTTTTAATATATTGATTCTGCATCACACCATCGAATTCTGAAGTCATCTTGTCTTTTAGTTTCCTAGAAGCGCCACTAATATCATTTTAATTAATACTGTTTGAGATTCAATATTTGAGTTAGTCTTTAATGATTTGTAGTTAGATGTATCCGATTTTGTGGAAAATGTTAAAAAGTAGTCTACAGAAGCATCAACTTCCTGGGACTCTGGAATTTTTCCTTCTAGAATTAACAAAATCACGAAAGATCTTGACGAATATAAGCTGAATATGCAACTGTGATTTGATTCCTAATCTCAGCACGGAGCAGTTTAAATTGCTGATGGAGATGGTTGGCATAAGTTGTTTTGATTTTTTCCCTTAGTCTGTTATATTGTATGAGTGACCACATGCTACATCTACATAAGTTGTAATCTCTTGATGAGCCTAGCCTTTATTCAAGACCCGGATTTTTAACAAGGTTTTGGAACTAGAAGTATTACTATGTAAATACAAGACAAAACCATTATGATATGCCGGTAATTATACGCACCTATTGGTACATATTTCTCAGATAATATGTTTTCCTTTGAAACTTACTTCACAAACGAGAACTATTTACAAAGGCGACACGCGGTCGACAGCCTTTGTCTGGCGTTTTCGATGTCGACTTATAGCATCATGGCTGGCGCTTATTGCATGGTCGACCGCTATGGTTCAGCTCCGTTGACAGATGGATGATACTTAGAAGAAACTAGTGCTAGCATTATCAACTTGGTGGAACTATGTATTATGGACTAATTGTATGTCTGCTTGGCTTACTTGATCCATTTAACCTTTTTGTTAAACAAATGTTTGTAGCTAGCTAAAGGGACTAACCGACGCCGAACGTAATACTTTTAACTCATGACATCGTTGTGTGGGAGGTGCAGAGTCAAGCCACTTGACGCTATTTGTTGCTTTAGCACAATGTGAACGGAGCTTCTTGAATACCTTTGGGTCTCTACTCGGCAACCATGCTTTTTTTTTAAATTTCTCACTAAAGTTTTAGATAGTTGTTGTTTAGGTCATATTTAAAACACAAGTGGAATCTGTAAAAAAAATACAAGATGATCGAGTGATTAGTCAGTATTTTCAGATATGTAATAGTCTGATCTAACCCCTGATTAATTTCTAATAAGTTTGGTCCGTAAATGATTATTTTTGATAGCACTTAAATGTTAACAGTAGCCTATTACCGTTGAATAAAGTCACATGTTTATTGTCTTTTACAGTCTACGATAACTTATTCTTTTACCTGCTCATCTACTTGCATACTTACATACAAATTTTGAATGAAGCAACCAAATATGTAAGGGAAAGAACTCTAACAAATCTGAAACTGCCAACCGAATATAGAATTTTCAGAGATGACGAAAATCCTGTATTAGAGGAAGCTGCATATTATGAAATAAAAAAATGTTGCCGACATCTTCAGTTTTTATTGAGGTAATCCCAAATAAACCAAAATCTACCAACCACAATCTAAGCAAAAGTGGTATCAACACTTTTTTTTGGATTTCGGGAATATCGAGGAAACTGCATCCAATTTTTATTTGAAAGATTAGATTGATTTTTAGAACTCACTTCGAGTGAGAAGGAATTTAGAAAATCTGGGATTTCAAGAACCACAAAATTTCCTCCATATTTTAACCTAATACACATTCGGCAGGTTATACTTATACCGGGTGAGCCATTAATACACGTTGTCGGCTGCTTCTACAGATGTGGCCAAGAGAAATTGCTGGAAATTATTTTCAGCTTCCCAAAATGGTCATTATAGGTCATAACATTAATTTCAAAATAAGAAATGCTGTTTTAACGAAAACATTTATCATTAACATACCTGCATATCTAAAGCAGCTTCATTGGATAGAATTTGTATTTTGCGACCGTTTTTTTTTTTGTTAACATTATTTCTTTTAACTCTATTGATTTCGGGAGGGTGAAGAGTTCGAAGTCATTTCATAAAAAGTAGCGTAACTGTTGCTTGGCCTTATCGATGTTTATGGTATTGCTATTTTGAACATAAGGCGACTTACTAAAATTAATGCAAAAATAATTCGTCATATTCAGATTAGAATTGCGCCCTCTAGTGGTCATGACTAAACGTGAAAATTGGCATAGGAAAAACATAAAAAATGACAAATTTTATACAACTATCATGGCTACAATCCTACAGGGTCTGACCTAATCCAACTAAGCACGAACATTTTAAATAAATTACATTTTACTCATAACTTTATTAGGAATGAAGATAATAATATACGGTTTTCAATAGTGTGCATAATTTTATGAATAATGGAAAATAATATTATTACATTCGAAGTTTTAGGAAGAATCTAAAAAAACGACGATTTTGTGATTATGTCCTATCAAACGCATAGAAAACGAAATAAACATACAAACGTAAACTCCGATAGAAATTCACATAAAAGTCCTTTTGAATTAAGCCAATACCATGTAAATTGATAAAGTCAATCAGATGTTGCACTATTTTTTCTGAAGTGACCTTGAGCCCTTCCCTCTCCCTAAAATAATCGAGTTAATAAAAACACAATATTAACGAAAAATAATCGCAAAATCGAATTTTATCGAAGAAAGCTAATTAAGCTATAAGTTAATTAAGTATGTTTGCGACAAAACGGTATTTCTAGTTTTAAGGTTATATATACCTTGTTTCTTAACGGCCATTTTATGACGGCGAGAATAATGTTCAGTAGTTTTTACTAACCAAGTTTGAAAAAATTTTTTTTAATCGATAGCTCCAAGTTGATTGGTTTCCGAGGTAGAGCCGGCGTCCTTTATTAATGGGCCATACGAATATAAAACATACATTCGAATAAAGTGGTGAGTCTATACGAACCAAAGTCTTTCTGTAACGCATCTACATTTTCAACCAAGGAAGTCCAAAAATGTTAAATAACCATCTGAAATGAATTAAATTATCACCAGATATCGTTACAGTCAGTAATTTCCGATGAGGATTTCCCAAAGTTGAATCTACCTTGTGTGAACGCAAATTGGTAACTGCCGATTTTCTCCGTAAATCTTGGAACTCCATGTATGTTTTAACTTCAATCCTGCTTCTTGCGCGTGTAAAAATATTACCATCTTTAGAAAAATATTACCTATACCAATATGCCTTGTCACCTTATTTGATTGCCCAAAGCTGTACTTTGTTATATCGTGATACCTGGAATCCCAAGCTCCAATATCCTTGTCATATGGCATTTACGCTGGATCAAAGCAAACGCAAGTTCTCAAGTTTCTCTCTCAATTGATTCTAACATGATTTGCTATAATTTTTGGATGTTCATTACAGTATACAAGAAGATATAGAGGAAATCTTCACTAACATAACCCTGTTGCAAATAATTTTATCGCTGGCATCATTTGCAACAAACCTGTATACCTTATCGATGACTACACCATCTGACGCCGATTTTTTGGGCTTGCTGGTTTATACACTTTTAGCAATTATACAACTTACAATGATTTGTCAGTTTGGATACAGAATTACGGAATCGGTAAGTTGGTCTAACAAAACAAATATACATATAACTGCGGCACGATCTCAATTATTTGTGCAGTATTACAACAATTTCCTTACTGATCCATTACTAGTAATAGCAGCGATGTCTGCAAGTGTGGCTGGAAGTCAAAGCTGCCAAACTAGATGAGAAAAACATATAATATCTAAGAAGGTGATAGAAAAGAGACTGAGAACGATAGACCGGAAAAGAGGAACAAATTGATAGAAAAGTAACATATTCTTCACGCTTTGACTTCTACGAACGTGAACAACTGATCAGTAATTGACATATCTGTTCATTCATAATATACGATGCATAATTATGATCCTCAGCATAACTAGCGCCACATATTTCTAGCTTTCCGGCTCGGGTATTACCTATCTTGAAACGTGACATTTTATAGGTTTTTTGTGACACAAAGTAGATTTTTTACAAGATGTCAACTAAGAACAAGCTGTCATTTACTTCATTCTTATTTGTAGCATGGGTGGAATGAACTACTTGCGCACTAAAAACTACCTAGTCTGCGAGATGACATTCTGGCGCTTTTTTTACGGTTTTTTTAAGTTCTTTACATAATAGCCCTGCCGGTTGCCCCCATTGGATAGATGTATACGAACATATTCAAAATGATGGAGCCTTCATCAGTACTGACACTTGTGTTCTATCTGGTCAATGCCAGCTTGAAAAAAAACATGGAAAATGCTCAAAAATCTTATAATATAGGCAATATTTTACTATATGAGAACAAAATAACTACCTGGCATTTATAATTAACTAGTGTAATAATATTATAGATTAAAACATCCATTACTCTGTGGATCGAAAAAAATAAAATTAAAAAATATGCTCCGTAACATCCGGGAACAACTGAAATACTGAATTTGAATTTTTCCAGTTTAGGACGCTTAGCGCCTAGACCAAACGGTCTATCGTCTACCCCCACTACTGTATTACTGCTGTCTGGCACAACGTTGCCAAGCAATCTGTGGGCAGTAAAGCCTAGTACACACTAGTCTGTCTGTACTCGCCCGATCGGAATGTACATATTTTCACACATTCCGACAGTATAGACGTCACTTGACGTCCAGAGGCGAGACATATCCCAGGCCATTCCACACAAAACAATGCCTGTGATGGCAAAAACGAACATGAGACCGAAAAATTCACATTATCGTAAGGAAGCTAGACGAGACAAAGAAGGATGTCTATAGACTGTCTATAGATAGTGTCTTGAGACCATCTCCAAGCTGACAATAGACAAATGGCGCAACGGGGTCTACTAGTGTGTACTAAGCTTAAGGATTAACTGCCCATTAAACAAATCAAGTAATTGGTGCAAATACTGACACAATCTAGCACTTCTATTATGTCAGCAGGTGATAAAAATATCAATAGGTGTAGTCAAGTATTTTTTGAAATTAAATATAGATCTTACAGTTATTCTTCAGACTTTCGTTGTCGAACTTAGATTTACAGCATAGTGGCTGTTTCCTCAGTTTTCAAAACAGTGTTGAAGTCGTACAGTGAGAATTTGAAAAATATTGGCGCTCACATAGCATCTGAAAATATTAGAAATCTCTGGAAAAAACTGTATCTGTTAGATCGTAATTATTTCGATGATGTGCTTTTGTACGAAACAAGTACAGGAATACAGGGCTGTACATATTCACGTGTAGTGCAGAAGCTCTGTGATTTAAATGAATTCACTATAACAACAAAAATAGTCTCATACGCGGAAAGAGATGCAGGACGTGTGGTATTGACTTTGAGCATCGATCGACGCATTTTCTCGACAGGCCACTGGCGGCTAAACAAATCTCATAAATGTCTATCTCCAATTTAGGCGTTCATCTAACGTAGTGCTTCGTTGCAACACCAACCCCGAACAAAATCAGTCAAGCTTTACACACTTTTCAAATTAGTATTGAGCCATAAACAGAACATAAGTCACTTTTTAAGTGCAATCTGTATAACTAATATACCTGTATTACTCAGACTTAGATTTTTCACAAGTCACAATACTCGTATATATCTGCAATGCTCAGTTTCTATAGCTATAACTTATAGTTGGTATGCCTCTGTCGCCCCGCCCCTAAATCCGCCACTGGCGCCCACAAGGGAATGCCAGAGGCGTCCCCCCCCCTGAGAATCCAGTTGGATCTTAAGATTTGCACATTTAGCATCATGTTCCATCCTCGTCGAAGTAAATATTTAGAATACATATCATAGTACCCTCGTTAGTTGTACCAAGCCCCACGATTTCAAAGCGCGCACGCAGCGAAAGAAAGCGACTCCGCGCCCGTTCCTCATACCTTCCTCCCCTCTGGCCGCCAATAAACATTCATTCCTTGTTGTCGTGCCAAACCGTTAAGACGTCAATCGGCGCGCATCTTTTCTACCTTTTCAGCAGTGTGGAGGAACCGCCGAACATTTAGAATTAGAGAACAGGACAGAAAGTTGGCTGATAGATGTGCATTGTCGAACGAGATACCGACCGACGGTCGCCTCAAGGTTCTTTCGGCGTGCAGGCCTACGCTGCAGACTGTGCCTAACATGACGTTTGGGATAACGTTCTGACACTGTTGCTTGGGATAGCAACCTGGACCTAGCTTGTGATAACCAACTCCATACCTAGGACGAACAAAGACGTTTGGGATAACGCTGAAATATTAGACTCGGTTGCTTGGGATAGCAACGTGGATCTGGCTTGGGATAGTCAGCGCCACACCTTGAACGAATAAAGATGTTTTGGATAATGACTCAATACTTAACTTCGTTGCACAAATAACAACACTGAAAGCGTTTGGGACAACGGAGAAACAAGGTATGGTCAACAATCTCTTCTCAATTGCATGTCTTAGCAAATTTCATCTGGTTTGTGATAACCCTGGAACAGGACTGTAAGTTTGAACATGGCAGGTTAGGAAGTCGTTAAGATATATTTTTTCCTTATTACCAGATAGAGATTAGGTATCTATGCGAGGTTAGAGTTACATTTTGTTTGTGATGGCAAATTCCATCTGGTTTGTGATAACCTTGGAACAGCATAATAAGATTACACCAGACAGCTTAGGAAACCGCCGAAGTACCATTTTTCATTAATAGCAAATAGAGATCAGGTTCATCTAAGCGAGACTAGCGTTAAATTTTGTTTGAGATTGCAAATTCCATCTGGTTTGTGATTGCAATGTAGCAATATAGCATTTTTCTTTTATAACAGATAAGAATTGGGTACATCTATGTGAGACTAGCGGTACATTTTGCTTGGGATAGCAAATTCCATCTGATTTGTGATAACTATTTAACAATATTATAAGAATGCACATGAGAAGTTAGGAAGCAGCGGTGGCCGCAGTAGTAGACTCTTCGGTCTCCTGATCAGTCGCCGTGCGCTGTGCGGGTTCGAGTCCCGCCCTAGGAGAAATTTTTCTCTTGGCTATGGATTTTTTGATTGTCCGTAGGTGGTAGATGGTATCTGACTGTCGAACGCGGAGGTACCACCCGGCGAATCTCGTAGGCGGAGCCAGAATGTGTGCATGTTACATGCACACGTGTTCCCTCGCCAGAGTCCTTGTGGCGTTCCCCCTTTCCCCTGTATCTCCCTATAGCCCCTCGGTACCCCATGTGTGTTTAGGCCTTAGGCCTTCGTGGTAGTTGGAGTATATAAAAAAAAGAGGCCGAAGTACCATTTTTCATTAATGAACAACAGAGATTAGGTACATCTATGCGAGACTAGCGTACATTTTGCTTGTGATAGCAAATTCCATATGGTTTGGAATAGCCATCGAACAGGTCAATAATATGCACATGACAAGTTATGAAACAGCTGAAGTACTATTTTTCATTAACGATACAGAAATTAGGAACATCTATGGTAGACTAGCGTTATATTTCGCTTGTAATAGCAAATTCCACCTGGCTGGTGATAACTATGGAACAGGACTGTACGTGTGTACATGACCGGATAGGAAACCAAAGTTCTAATCTTCAGTAATAACGGAGGTTAAATATCATTATCCCCGATAAGTGTTACATTTTGCATAGGTGGCACTCGAACAGCAAGGCGATCTGGCTTGTGTTGTCTTAAATGCCATGTAGTCTGTTTCAATAGATGTCGCATCACCACGATGATGCGGCGACCTTAGTACAATTAATGATCGCGCGTTATTCCAAGGCTGACATTTCGAGGGCAGGTCTTGCTCATGACGATAGATGAATAAATTCTGTTCCATTCTAGTCACCTAAGGTGAACCAGGCGAGGTAGCGGGAGCCATAATAGAAATTATCGCACGCAGGGATGCGTGCTTGGTCTGTTTACAGCAACATGTGCGCTGTTTATTAACTGCAAGTGGCAATACTCTACTCTATCTTCTAGGTTCAAAGAAGGGAGAGAATCGAATTCAGCATAAAGCAAACAACTCAGGAGCACTCTGACAGAGGCTTCCATTGATGTCTTGTTCTTCCGTGTAGGTCTGACCAAGTAAGTCAATTCTAAACAGAAATCAGATAAACATGAGCAGCAACTGGAGGCGAAAAGGTCAGACAACATCTGATATCTCCCATTATTGATGTAGGTGAGGTATGTAGATCAGCAGGGATATTGACGCGGATTCATCATCAATGGCAGAGCTATAGGAGTGGCGCTAAAGACCTGAGTTGGACTCAAGTGGTCAATTGCCATTCACATGGCGACTAATTCAGCACTTTACCATAGCTGAATCTCATTAGCCCGTCTATGAAGTACCAACTTTCGACAGTCTCTCAATTGCTCAGCTGCGGTGCTATCAGTAAAAAAGTTGAGCTAACTAAAAATCAGGACCTATCCAACTGTTTCTTGCCTCCAAGTCTGATGGGTCAACACGTTTGATTCCTCACCTCAAGACACTTTGTCTGTTTATCGGGATATAACACTTAAGTCTAGGCTATTGAATTGGGATCAGACTTCTCCGTAGAGATACTTTCTTAACGAATCTGGATTTGGAATTTGGTAATACTGGTAGAGACGAGCTTTTGCGTAGGTGGGACGTGGAAATGGAGTGGGAGCTACACCTGTCACCGTCTTGATTTTGATGCAAGTATTCGGTGTTTCTAAATTTCAATTCTAGAAGTAAAGCAAGGATCTGATGGAGGACCCAGGACGCCGCTCCCACTAGTTCTGAAGCTTACCCTGATTATCGTAACTGGAAAGCTGTCATTCCAATCAGCATCGATAATCCATCTCGTATTGTGGGCTTAGACTGCGGTAGGACTTTTGTCGGGAAAAAATACATGTCTGGTTTTCTACCTTGAAAGTTCTTACCTTACAGTGTGATAAGAGATCAAGATATAATTGTTTGAGCTATCAGTCTTTCACCCGAAATGTTACTAACGATGCAGACATAAAATGGTTTTTGAAGGGCATTTACAGGCTTAGGCCATCTGAACTGAAATACAGATACTGGAGTTGTTCTCAAACAACCAAAGGGGTTGCTGGTAAGCTCTTTAGGTATTTGGATGAGGAAATTAGCAACACAGCTAGCTCTAACCTCAGGTCAGAGTGTGCAAACTAATTGAAACAGGCAACATCCGGATTGGGTTGAATAATACTGAAATTGGGATTTCTCAGTTTTTGAAAGTCTCGGGGTCACTCGTGAGGCAACCACTTTTAGTTTTACCGTATTTTACTCCCAAATATCTGTGCAGTCAAAGTATTTATTTGTCACTGTACAGTAACTTTATCATGGTGCCTCTGCACCCAGATGGATGAAGTCGATTTTAGCAGAGAGTGTCACAATTGACATACATGAAATGCGTCTACCTCTCCGACTGCTAGATTATAGTAGTCTCTCTCCCTATGTATCATCGTATTGTTACAACAACTTGGCTTTGAAGAAAATGAATGTTTATAAGCGGCCAGAGGGGAGGAAGGTAGGAGGAGCAGGGGCGGTGCCTGTTTCTTTCGTTACGTGCTCGCTTTGAAATCATGGGATTTGGTACAACTAACGAGGGTACTACGATATGTATTCTAAATATTTACTTCGACGAGGACTTCACATAATTAAGATCGAACATCACTGACAGGTAAGTTCATTTGATCATGTAATTATTATGCGTACCGTTCTGGGACATTTTAGGATTGGAGAAAATATGCTACCCCCACTCTTCAATAAATTTTGAAGACAGGTACACTTTCACTAAAAGTCTCTTGCTGATTGATCACACCGCCCCCCCCCAAGAAATAAACTCCTGCAGGCGCAGAGCCAAGCTTATCGCCAAAATTACATCATCTTGATACATACGGTTAATTTTCCTATGAATGCCTGCCAATGCGACAATTCGACATAGATTATTTTCTCTACAAAGTATATTTAAAATATTAATCGTACATTCAGGTAAAGCAGGGCAGAATACTATCTATGCTACAATAATATTGTTAATAAACGAAGATAAAGAAAATGATAGTATTTATTAACGTATAGCATATGAACAACGTTACCCTTTCGTGCTTTGAAAAAGGACCAAAACCCCAGTAAAAAGTAATGAAAGAATGTTGTTGTTTCATTTAGCAACTAGATAATCATGTAGACCTGTTTAAAATTTTTATTTCAGGCGTAATAGTTTCGATGACTTCGTAGATTTTTTCATACAAAGTATCCTTAGATTTGTCTTGATACTACAGTTAGAACTTCACCCTTTTCAGTAACTGCAGTCGTATTTTTTTGTATATTGCCTACAACGCCTAAATATTGTAAACGGCAAAATGAATTATTATGTTTTTTTGGTACATGACGAAAGCCCATGTCACTCATCTCCGTGGGTCTATCTGTGGGTTTGTTGGTCCTTCTATCGGTCTGTCTGTCCACTAATCCTACAAGTACCGCTTGTTATTACTATGGCAAGGACGAAAATGCTTTGGGAATTCGTCCGGTGACAGAGGAGGAAATAATCTAAAAGTGAAAAAATAAAAATCGCTAGTTTTTTGACGTTCAGAAGATCTTGATAAATTTGAAATTTTAGAGGTGAAAAGTGAGTCGGGTAGTAGGAGGGTGTTGGGGCCTATATTTCAGCTGTTTAATATTATATTTATACACTCCCAGCCTTGGTAATTCTACGCACCTATCAGACATATTTCTCACATCATAGACGTCTCCGTACATTAACCCTTGAGGCTTCGTGAAATATTCTCAGTAGACGGATCGCTTACCAACTGGCCGCGCCTGCTTCTACTCTGGGTGACATGCCGCCGACGTTGATACGCGTTCTGGTATTACACGTATTACTCCCGCGTCACAGCGTAGTGTTTCCTATGCTGTGACTGCGCTGTCACGTCTGACCGGGTTAATTACCGAGGAGAGGCGACGTTGCCAGAGACCGCTAGGACAGGGAAATAATGCCTGTGGACTAATGACATGGGCCTGTTTGACTGGCTCTAGTTTGTGTGAACATAAACCTTTATGAACTGATAATTGCAGTGCGTGGAATGTGCGGTGTCAAACTACTTATTTTTTAAATTGTTGTTTTATTTCAGTGTTTCTTATTCCAACGCAGTTTATACGAATGCGACTGGTTAAGTGGCAGCAAGAGATTCAAAACTTGCATCTTGCTCATGATGATTAGATTGCAGAAGCCAGTGAGATTCACCGCTGGCAAGTTTTTTTCGTTGACTCCGAGAACCGTAGTTTCGGTGAGCCAATATGTTTCCTATTTATTTTAAGATCATTTTAAGGGAATATTGAGTAGCGCACCATAAAGTTCTGTTCATAGTTGATGAAATATTTTCTAATCTGATCCTTTTGAAAAGTTCCAGACCTGCTACTTGATTATATTTCTGACTCGATCTATCTTTCGATGTATCTTTTTCGCGAAATATTTGGACACTAGGTTATCCAGGAGTAATATCGCTGATCAAACTAAAGCCAGCATAACAGTTATTTAAAATTGCTAGGAGAGCCAAAGTGCTCGTGATCACCTTAAATTTTTTGAATTTCCAGATTAGTACTCATACCTATACTACCTAAACTCCGGTTTTGACATTCGATATTCAGAGTAATAATTAATTTTTATGTTGCATTTTTAATTATTAGCATCAAGACAATGTAATTACACTACAAAAAAAAGGAATTTCAATTACTAATATGACGACCTGCTGTTAAATATTATATTCTATTTTTCTGATTTATATATAAAAAAATGTGCTTGAAACTTTAACTATACTCTAACGCTTTGATAAGCAATACTTACAAGAAAAATGCAAATTCTATGCGTGGGTGTGACTGCAATAAATTTGCAACCATCTAACGGTTTTACGACAGTTGATCAATTTTAGTGGATCTTATTCACGGTTTATTACCGCTTATACTTACTCAAGAACATCGCCTTTAAAAAACATGTGATGTATTACTAGAAACCGAAAAATTTAAGTTGCTGAAAATTGTAGGGAACATTGTTAAATGTAAAAAATCTAAGATCCGTATATTGATCACTTATTACTTTATACGTTTATTCCAGACAATATATTTTTCTGTTTCAGGTTTTAAGAGGATCGTACTCTTATGCTGCAATGTACCGATCTGTCGGGTAAGCCTACAATAGAATGACTGCCAGTTCTCCACATTTAATAAACTAGAACATGTATCATGTAAAAAACATTGCTTCTTTACTCCTATAAGTTTATGTAAATAGTATGGAAGTAGGTACTGTTAAAAGTGAAATAATAAACTGGCGTATTTATGGATTTGTATTCAATGTCTTTGTCTTCTCTGAAAAGTAGAAAAGAGGAAAGTCTTAGTTTTTTGTTGAATTATCCGGCTCTTTGTCATTATAGGTTGTGCAAACTGCAAACTAGAGGACTGATGCTTCATAGGCTATAGCTTGCCTAAACTTGTGGTGAAAATACAGGGTTTCTAAAACAAGTGTCAAAAGTTGAATGCGTGATTCTATGGAAAGATAGCCCATTTTCCATAAGAGTTGCGCAACTTTAGTAAAATGCTCTTCACGGAAATTTAACTATGTTTATTTAAAAATCATTTACGCCTCGTCAAACTAAACACTAGCTCATGACGATAAAATTCTAGCGCTCCTGGCCAGCAGGTCAAAGATGCTTGAACAGGCAGCAACAAGCGAAATAAGGTTATTTTGAATAGTGTTTGAAGATAAGAAACCTTAAATATAAGTTTTAAGTGTTCCTCTGTAGCCTTCAAGCATAAAATGGTCTCTGGAATAGTCGAAAGAAAAGCAGATTTTTAATTTTCACTATACACAATTTAAACAGAAACTATGGGAAAATTATTATACCATCCAGCGTGTCCATGAAGTCGTATTTATATTTTAAGCTAATTATAATTTCCAATTTGGAAAAGTTATTCTGTAGGAGTTGGAATTAAAAAACCAGGATGGGCTGACATTCGTAAAGGCGTTCTGTTTCTCTAAGAAAACATATGGTTAATCACCTAGTGTAGGGTGTGAAATTTAGGATTATTCCTTATTCTCTCAAAATAATAAGGTCAAGTCATCGTTGGTTGTCAGAGCGGTCCGTGGGACCTTAGCTCTTGAGTCACAGTGTCAGTTTGTAAGTCTGTCAGGTCTGGTAACCCAGAAACCAGACAATTTTAATAATAAGGTCTAGATTGAAATAGTTCCCGAGCTAACTTTCTCAGGTTAATGGGTAGGAAGACGGTGTTACGACGATATCACTTTATTTACTAAGATAGAGGCTGCTTTACAACTCACACTATGCAATCCGAAATAAAAATAGAGTAGCAGTAACAATGTTCATACGTCCGTCGGGTGGAGCGACGATATACGTCCTCTTTCTTCCGATGCTCATGCCCGTCTCTAGGGCTCCAGCGCTCCAGGCTCCAGGGTATTACTCCATGCCTTCCGTCGCACTTTGCACTCGACACGCACTCACACACGGTCGCGCTGTTGCCGAACCTCTTCAAGATATATTAAAAGAGTCTCAAGTCACACTCTTGTTTATATTCATCGAATATATTTTTTTATAATGAAAAATACCTGTTTTTGAGAATACCTCTCAAACGATCCAATTTACGAGAAAAGTGACCAGTAGAAAATTATTGAGAGAGACGATTTGATACAAAACGAAACAAGAATACATTTTTTTCTCTAGGTTCGAAAGTACTATTTGCTGGAAAACTCGAACTTTTTCAAATTTCGGTTTTTGAATATCATTAAAACCACAAGTTACTTTTTTCTAATTTTCTCTGCCAGTAGGCGGGGAACCACCATATTCTAAAAGAAAACACAACTTGCACCAAAACAAATATCGTAGAAGACATTTCGTATCCGAATTCGATGAGTAGGGTGTCACAAGAAATAGAAAGTATGCTCTTGCATTTCAAATGTTGTAAAGTCAAAAATATGTTATATGCCTAAGATGCAAAGAGCTTACGTCCTTACAGGTTTGTGATAATGGACTATGCTATTTATCAAAGATGATTTCAGAAAAACTCGAAAAATAAGTACAGTAAGGGTATTTTCAAAACTGGGCAGTTGATAATGACTAATACGCATTTTCTTTTGCACGAGAGTAGGCGCAAAAAAAGACTCGTAAGTTTTCTATTGGAGAACTTACTTTATCTGAAGTTATATTAGTTATCCCTTTATAGTGGCATGCTCGTACTTGTCTACCTTATAAAGGTAAGTTTTAACACTTCTTAGCAAGTAACGTAAACATAAGTGCACTTGTCCAAATACATTATGCTGTATATATCTTACCTAATAAACGGTTTTAGATACTAATCGAAAAGCAGGAATCAATACAAACTAAACCCTAAGTAATATTTTCCATAAGTAAGCAAAACATATTAGTAAGCACCTAATATTGCAAATGCAGTTTTCAATCAGCTAAAAATAGATTCTCGTCGTTTTGTAGCAAATTGTCTTGGCACAAATCTTCTACTGATCACAATAAGCATGTTTTAAATGGAAAAAAATATTTTCTCTGAATATAATCGAGAGTGTAAGTACCTGAGACCCTTCAGTACAACCCAACCGTGCTTATCTTGAGAGAAGAAGGAATAAGCTTAAATTTGATACCACACCATTTTTAATAATATTGTTCGAAATTATGTGACTGTATTAGTTGTTTCTTCTAGAGAATAAAATAACCATCAATTTAGTCCCTTTACAAAAGCTAACCAATTATTTTCTTGATTTTAGACTATATAATTGTTTGGCTTAATTTTATTTTCAAACGGAAAATGATTTCCTAGAGGACAGAGTGTTGGACCCCAGTGTAGCCTGCCCGTCGTAGCTCAGAGCCTCACAGCGATACAGAACGAGCGGCGAGGACTCTTCCTCTACCCCGCAGCGCTCACACATGCAATCCTCAGCCACCTGCATCACATGCAGGTGCCGCCTCAACGTGTTATGGGCAGACAACTGTTCCACCAAGAGCCTTAAGTTGGCTCTATCCAAAGATAAGCAAAAGCGTCCATCCTTAACACTGGGCACTACGATAAGCTGCCTTGTCTAGAGATGCTAAAATCCACAATGATAAGTTATGAAAGAATATTTTTGATAGATATCAATCTTTATAAAAAACATGATATATTAAAAGAGTTTTTCGTATAAATATTACTTCTACTATTCACTGTACCGGTATTGACCATACGTGCTGTACCAGTCGTATCTCTGCTAGACTTCCTTCAATAAAATCAGCTGTAATTTGTTAAGATGTCTTAAAACTGAAACTAACAATGGATAACTTTATAAGACGGACGCTTAATAACGAAAAACGTTATCAGGGGTATTTGGAACGTAAAAAAATGAGGTTTGTGAGATATCTATTTTTTTCATTTTTGGCCTTTTCGTTCACCTCCACTGGACAGATTTTCAAAAACTACAAGAATTTTTTGTCCTTGGCATAGTAGTAACTAGGCATACCGACAGACAGACCGACCGACGGAAATGAGAAACATGGTTTTTCGTGATGTAGATGTCATAGGTATAACAACAAAAAAACATAATTTCTCGTTTTCGAAATATTTCGCGATTACAACAGTTTGTCCCATTTGTGGCTAATCCAACTTAAAAATATATTCCATTAAACCAAGAAAGATTTATATTGCTGCCATATTTTTGGAGTCTACGCAAAACGTGATGACTTTTGTAACTTGCTTGCCGTCCTCTCTATTCGACAAAGTTGTTCTTAATTTGGTGTAGTACCTTACGCAGTTTATAAGACATTTTCTACCAGTGCCTTTTTCTTCTTGAAAAGTATGTACCCTCTTTAAGGTAAATGTCCAAACAAACTTTTGTTTTCGGGCAGTTTCGGTCCAAAAGTTTCAGCAAAAAATCCCCCAAAACTGCAACCGAAACCGAAACTACGCTTACTTACAAGTCATTGAGAAATTCCAGTTCAGGCTCAATTTCAGGCAGAATATTCAAAACAGTTTGTACAAACTAAATTTCCAGTTACTAAACTACTTAATAGTTCAAGGATATACAAACCATCGTTTAAAATACATATGGCCAACAAAATCTAGTTTCGTATACTGATCTTTAAAATCCAAATCATTCAAGTTAAACATAGTTTACAAAATTTTAAACGGGCTTTAAGTACTTGTGCAATAAAAATCTTCAAATTAAACTTGGTTTCCGTCTGAACTAGCGCTAAACAGTATTGTTGAAACAGAACAAATACCTTGTTGTTCTTGTTTTATTGTTTGTTTTTTTACAAAATGTTGGGAACAGAGAGATATTATTTTTTTGTGTTTTAAGAGACAAATGTAGTACTGTTTTAGTTTTCTTCAACTAAGTCTTAATAATATTTGATAAAGACTGATACTGACATACTATATAGATTTCAATATTTATTTAACAAGAAACTGCTATTATTACTACTAATAATACTTAAAAAAGATTGTGTTCAATTTTTCTTGGACCATACAGCCGAAACGAAAGTTGGACCGAAATTTTGTTTTAGGCTGTAAATACTAATTTCGGTCGGACACTTTCTCAGGGTAGATTTGTTTTAAAGAGCATCATTGTATACATCGTATTAGTTTAAAATTGCTGCGTCAAAAGCGGTTGTTCTATACCATTTTAATTCTCTCAAGAATATGGTATAATAGGAAGATATTTAACCTCCCTTTTGGACCTTATTAAAAATTCTAGCATGTCACATGTATCCGGTAATGTACAAGAGTGGTAATGTATTTTTATAGTGCGATATCAAGTCACAGATGTCAAATACATATTTAACCAAACTAAAAAATCGGGTATATGACGAAGATCACATAGGTGCCTATAACGGTTATGTAATTAGGAAGGTATTGCCTTCGCTGCTGGGTGTAAGATGACACAAGTCGTCGTCGTCTCATGTATCGGGTTTTCCAATAGGAACTTGACAACTTTGAACGCACCTTTAAATCAATTACCGAATTGTCAATGTAAAAACATTCAGTAAAGAAATCATTTTCATCATGATGAAGTACACGAACGAACAACGCTTACAAGTAATTAAAATTTACTACCGAAATTCCGAGTCGGTGACTGCAACTTTAAGAGCGTTAACGCCAATTTTTGCTCGTAATTCTCGTCCCAGTAGACAAGTAATTCATAGTCTAGTAAAAAAATTTGAGTCAAGATATTCGCTGATGGATGTTCCCGAGCCAGTGAGACAACGGGTTGGTCGAAGTGCCGAGAATATTGCTGCCGATCAAGCTTCCGTCGCAAACGAACAGCACACGTCGATTTCA